GGCCTGCAGGCAATGAGGTCATCTCCGGGTTATTGATAACTTGAGGACTCTAATGTTCTTGAGCTCTTACTTGGAACAAGCTCCTATTGATTTTTGTTGGTCTTTCCTTGCTTGTAAGACCTTGAAAATTCAATTCAACAAACATTTATTTGTTGACACCCACTATATACCAGGTTCTTCTCTGTGTCCAAGCATGTTAGTTACAGGGCTCAGATGGCACATTCACTTACTTTGGCCACTCAGAACCAGGGGATTCCAGGTAATACAACTTTTCAGATTTATTTTTAAATCATGTGTATGTGTGGGGTATGTACACATAAGAGGGCAGGAAGGCCAGAAGAGGGTGTGGTGTCAGGTTGCTGAAGCTGGTGTTACAGGAGGTTTTAAGCCACTGATGTGGGTGCTGGGAACCAAACTCAAGGTCTTCTGCAAGAACAGCAAGTACTCTTAACCCGCTGAGTCATCTCTCTAGCCCCAATACTTTACTTTGGTTCCTGAGCTCCTGTTTTCTCTCTGGTTGTCTCTGAGATGCTGTTCTTAAAGAGACCTGGAGAGAGAGAGAGAGAGAGAGAGAGAGAGAGAGAGAGAGAGAGAGAGAGAGAGAGGTCTTAGGAGACTTCAACCCTGTTGATTGATGCCTTCATCTTGGGCTTCAAGCATCCAGAGCTGTGACAGAGTAAATGTCTATGATCTAAGACACACAGTGGCTCAGTCCTAGCAAACTAAAGCCCTTACTGCAAGACTGTGGTTAGATCAGAGTTTCCCAAAGGCTCACCTGTCAAAGACTTGATAGCCCACTATGGGGAGGCAAGGCAGCCTTTAAGAGATGGGGTCCAGCCAGGCATTTCGGCATAAGCCTGTAATAGCAGCACTTGTGAGCTGAAACAGGAGGATTGTTAGTTCCAGGCCGGCTGAGGTAGGGCCCGCTGAGAGTACGGAGTGAAACATTGTCTCAAAATGCAAACAAAAAAAGGTAAGGTACAGGGGAAGAATTAAGTCACTGGGGGGTAGTGATAGAGCAGATACAAGGGAAAGAGAGAGATTGAGAAAGGCAGAGAGACAAAAACAGGGACAGAGAAAGCAAGAAGGGGGAGAAGAAAGGCAGGAAGTCAGAGAGGCTGGTGGATGACTTGGCAGACAGACACTTGCCGCCATGCTTGATGATCTGAATTCAATCATTAGGACTGACACGGTGGAAGAAGAAATGGACTCCTGCAGGTTGTCCTCTGACTTCATACAGAGGGTATAAATGTAATAAATCCTTACTAATTTTTAAAATAACACTTTTATTTGAGAATTTCATACAATGTATTTTGATTGTATTCAGACCCCTTCTCCATCTACTCTCAGATCCCCCACATCCCTAACCACCAACCGCCCCTTTGTGTCCTCTATTTTTTTTAAGGCCTATGGAGTCCAGTTTGTGTTCCCCAAATACTCCTGGGTGGGAGTCCATCCTGAAGTGTGGCCAACCTGTCAGCATCTTAAAGAAAACGCCTCTCTCCCTCCCAGCAGCTCTCAGTTGCCAACAGTTCCTCAGCTAGGCCTGGATTCCCACCCCCCGCCCCCCACCCCATGCCCCATGCTGGGATTTTGTCTGGCTTGGGCTTGTGCAGGTGCTCTGCATGCTGTCACAAGTACTGTGGGTTCATATGTGCAACTGCCTTATTGTGTCTGGAAAAACTGTTTTCTTGTAGTCATTTGCCACCTCTGGCTCTTACAGTCTCTGCCTACTCGTCCTCAGTGCTGCCTCACCTTGGGAGGAAGTGGTGTGATATAGGTGTCCCATTTAGTGTGAGCACTCTGCAGTCTCTTAATCTTTACACATTGCCCAGAGGATTTCTGTGTGAATTACTGTCTACTGCAAAAAGAAGTTTTTCAGGTAGGAGTTGAAAGATGCACAGATCTGTGGGTTAGGGTGAGTCCTTAGGGTTTGGTTAGATGCCGTGTCCATTAAAGAGAGCAGTAGTAGTAGGTTCTCCCCACAGCCTGTGACCTGTTCAGCTCCAGGTTCTTGGTCCCAGTAACAGTGCTAGGGATGGGCTCCATATTGTGAATCAGGCCTTAAATTCAGTTTGAAAGTAGCCAGTCACTTCCATAACATTCACACCAGTGGGCATGTCCTGCCAGGCTAGTCTTTTTTTTTTTTTTTTCCCCCCTTTGGTCTTTTTGAGACAGGGTCTCCCTGTAGCCCCAGCTGGCCTGGAACTCACTATATAGACCAGGCTGGCCTTGAACTCATAGAGATCCGCCTGCCTCTGCCTCAGTCTTTTTAGGAAAAAAAAATTTTTTTAAAGATCTTATTGATATGTATGAGTGTTTTGCCTGCATGTATGTAAGCATGCCATATGCATGCTGTACCCATGGAGGTCGGAAGAGGGCATTGGATCCCCTGGAATGGGAGTTACAGGCAGTTGTTAGCTACCATGAGAGTGCTGGGAACTGAGCCCAGGTCTTCTGAAAGAACAGTTAAGTGCAGGCCAGGTGTGGTTGCACATGCCTTTGGTCTCAGCACTCAGGAGGCAGAAGCAGGCAGGTCTCTGCGTTCAAGGCCAGCTGAGGCTACAGGGAGACCCTGTCTCAAAAAGACCAAAAAAAAGAGAAAGGACAGTAAGTGCTCCTAACTGTGGCCCATAGAGTTCACAGTAGGGTAAGATTGATGATTGCTTTTCCCTTCTGGTGGTGTGTGTGGTACCTTGTGGCACTATGGAAGCTAGCCAGTGGAGGTGAGACTTACAGGTCAGTACCAGCTTCATTTCTCCATGTTCTCTGATTCACATATGTAGTGTCTTCAGCAGTAGGGTCTTATTGTCAAGTTCTCAAGGGTAACCAAGAGCAGTGGTAGTAACGGGTATTGTTTGAGGGTCTGTAGGACACCCTTGGCCATTCTTACTGATTTTTTTTTTCTTTTGGTCTTTTTGAGACAGGATCTCCCTAAGCTACAGCTGGCCTGGAACTTACTATGGAGACCAGGCTGGCCTCAAACTCACAGAGATCCTCCTGCCTCTGCCTCCCAAGTGCAGGATTAAAGGTATGTGCCACCATGCTCAGCCTTACTGATTTTTAAAAAAAAAGAAATCAGAGAGACAGGAGGACCTACTGATGGATTGTGATGGCAGGCTGGCTGATGTGAGTCTTCTGGACATTGCTGTGACTTTCCCTTGGCTGGTATCTGCCTCTAAACTCCAGGATCAGAGTAGCCTTGCACTGTCACTCTCAGGGTTACTCAGCCCACTGCACCCCAGGCTCTGCAGGTGTAATCTATACACCCTCCTCTCAAGAGAGATGGCTCAGCAGTCAAGGCCTGTGACTGCTCTTGCAGAGGACCCAGGCTCTGTTTCTAGCCCCCATATATATGGCAGCTAACAACCGTTCATAACTCCAGTTCCTTGGGATTAGACGTCTTCCGGCCTCCATAGACATTGCATGCATGTGATGCACCTACATGCATGCGAAAAATAAAAAGTTTTTTAAAAAACTTATACACGGGCTGGAGAGATGGCTCAGCGGTTAAGAGCACTGACTGCTCTTGCAGAGGACCTGGGTTTGATTCCCAGCACCCACATGGCGGCTAACAACCATCCTTAACTCCAGTTCCAGGGGACTCCAAAGCCCTTTTCTGACCTCCACAGCATTGCATGACACGGGTGCACTCGCATACATGCAGGCAATACCCTTGTACACATAAAATAAAAATAATATATAAAATTAAAAAAAATACACATAAAAAGTTTTTAAAAAAAGAGACCAGCTGGTGTAGACCCTCTGGGGTGGGCTCTTGAGCTCTCAGGAAGGCTCTGACCAGGTGACCCTGAGGCATTCAATGTGAGTGCTGACTTGAAAGCTGTGGTGGAGGCTGTAGCTCTGAGCAACCAGTAGCTCTGAGGCTTTAGTGTCAAGCAGGGACAGTGTGACACTTCTGTGGTGTGGGCATGTGAACTTGTCTTGGCCTTTCCAGAGTCTGTGTTGCTGAGGTGCTACCCTAGGAGGCTGAATTGTGGGAGGTCTGCTTGTAAAAAGCTCCAGTCTACTCGGGGCCACTCAGAGCCCTAAGTTCAGAGCAGGGGCAGGCAAGTGCCCTCAAGGGGCCCTAAGGCAGAGGAAGCTAGGTACAGACTAGAAGGGAGTCAGGCCACCCAGGTAGGTTGGGTTGTGCTCTGTTTAAGGCCCTGTGTCCCATGCCAGAGGGGAGCAGCCATGGGAGGCAGCCCTGTTAGCTTTAATTATCTGGGCAGTTAGAGCTGTATGTTATGAAAGTCTGGCAATTAGGCTCGTTCCTCGAAGCTATGGAGAAACTGCTGGCTATCAAGTGGAAGGGAACTCGGGCAAAACAGATCCCTGCTAATTGCAAGAAACATTCAGCAAGAAAAAGCTGTTGTGGATATCACCCTGCAGAATGTTATGAAAACAGTGATTAAGTACATAAATCTGCCTGGGCATGATGGAGGGAAGGTGTTGGGAGAGGAAGTGTGCTCTCTGGTATGGGCAGGAGCTCTGCCTGCTCTAGCCTCCAAGACCAACCCTGGAGTTTGGAGTCTGGGAAATCTTTGTATGTAGTCTTGCCTGGAAGGTCTCTTAGTTGCCCAGGACTCAGGACTTGGTTTGCCAGACTTCTGACCTCCCTGGGAGCAGTCACTCAGTGTCCACATCCTGCCTCTGATGGCTGTGAGGGTGTTCTGGACTCTCCTGGAGGCCAAACCAGCTACCTCCTGAAGCCTTGGCTGCCAGGCTATTTGGAGTGTGTGTGTGTCTGTCTCTCTGTCTGTCTGTCTGTCTGTCTGTCTCTGTGTATGGTGTATGTGTGTGCATGCACATGCATGTGTGTATGTGTATGCATGGGGTAGGGCTGAGCCTGGTGGTGATGGAGATTTCTCTAACTCCAGAGGACATATACGTGAGGCCAGGGCTTCAAGGGCAGGCAGCCTTGGGCCCCAAGGACTTCCTAGCCCCCTCTCTGCTGACCTCTGCTGACCCATGCCTATGCCTTTGTTTTCTTTTAGCATCCAATGTGCACCTACGGACTCCACCCTCCAGCAAGGTGATCAAGACCCGCTACCGCATCATCAAAAAGACCCCAAGCTCTCCCCTCAGTGCTCCTCCCTTCCCCTTTCCTCTGCCCTCCTGGAGGGCCCGGCGGAGCTCCTCCAGGTAGGAAGACCTTATCTAGACTCCTGCAAGCCTGGCTACTGGGCTAACTGGGCATTGAGGGCTGTAGGCTAGGCCTAAAGGCCGTGGGAACCCATTTCCCCTCAGGGAGCTTCATGGTGTGCAACATCTTGGCTGGCAAACGGCTTAATTTTTTGTTTGTTTAGCAATTTGTATACCAGATATATTGCCAGCCTACTTCTTACCACATATACACACACGTGTGCACGTGTCTTGTACTGTTGTCAGCAAGCCTGCTAGTTGGTAGGACCTCATGCACCACAGATACAGCTGCCCCCAAGACATTTGGTGCACCTACGATGAGCTACCTGTGGGCATCCTTGGGGAGACATTTCTAGTGAGGGAAGCCGGGCCCTGAGCAGCCTGTCTGAAAGCTACCAAGATATTGATTGTCAAGGGAGTGGTGATGAAGGGCTTCCCCCCCCGCCCCCAGACCACCTCACACAACCTTCCCCTGAGAATGCACTGACCTTGCTGTTGTTGTCAGAGAGCAGCAGGGTACGAGTATCCCCTTAGAGGAATGATCTGTGTCTGCCTTCTCAAGGGCCCCCTCTGGGTCCCAGAAGGAGGCTAGTCTTTGGGGACATTGGTCACCACATTTTCTATTTTTTGGTTAGGTGGAGGTGTCCCATCTTCAGGCACAGGGAGGGATGGCATCCCAGTGGGCAGGTCAGTAGCAGAGAGTGGCAGAGCCTGGCTCTTGGGGAGCTGTGGAGTTGGGGACCATGGGTAGGCCTGCCTGCTGGGGGAGCCGCACATCCCAGGGCCTGCTGCCTCCATCCTGCTGCTCTGCCATTAGCCTTGTTGTTGCCCAAATGACTCCAGAACTGAAGCCAACCTCAGAGGTTCACCAGATCATGTGGCAGCTCTGCCTAGCTCTGGGGCCGCAGGCAGGTGAGCTCATTGTTCAAGATCCACTGGCTGCCTCCCTTACCACTGGCCACTCCAGGCTTGGCCCTACAGCCGCCTTTTCTGGAGGCAATAGCTGGAGGTATATTTTAAATTAATTTTACTGCACTTTTTGTAATATTTTTGTTTTAAATAGATTTATAAGCATCTTGGGGGCTATTTCTACAAATTTATGAAGATAATTTTTACTCTCTCGATAAGGTTAAATTTACACCTGCTATTTCCATATTAATTCACATTGCTAAGTGGATCTAATTTTCTTCCGTTCCTCTATCTGGTGAGCATGGCCTTTCCTAATGCAATTTCCCCTTCACTAAATCACTGTGATCGGGAGTCATGATCGAGCTAAATTAACTTAAATTAATTTACTTAATAAGAGCCCCAGATCATCATGAATGAGGTTCAGATTTATTGATTCTCAACTAGTGAGAGCCTCCCCCTCCTGCAGCCAGCATTGGGCCTGCATCCCTCCTGTCCTGTGGCATGGATGGGGGCCCCAGGTGATGTTCCTCAGGGACCTAGCCAGCCTCTCCTCCAGTCTCAGAGAGCCCAGGAGGCTCCAGGTTTGGCTCCAGTAGAGAGCCCTGTAGGAGGGCCCTAATGGGAGGTCACTTGCTAGAAACTTGTGCCCAGGATGAGAGAGTCGTAGAAGAATCTTGGTGGTTGATACAGTCCCAAGGGCCAAGGTCAAGGGGTGAACTGTCTATAGGCGTGTCATGTGGTCTCATGCAGAGACTAGGGTATAAAGAGCAGCAATATCATCTGACCTTGTTTCCCTAAGTTTCCTCTCCTGAAAAGGTGGTACCTGCTGTGGTTTTGTTGTGAGTGTGGATGGGCAGGAGGTAGGGTGAAAACTGCCTTTAGATGGCTCAGGTCTCACAACATGAGTGCCTGAACTGAGTCTACGCCCTGACTGACTGGCTGGCAGTTGTGGGCTCCAAGCCTCAGGGCTCTCCTTGCGCTTAGAGGTCTGGCTTAACCCACCAACATGGACGTACTCCCTGAGGGTATGTGGAGGAGCCCTTCCACTCTCTCCTGACCACTTACCCTGGTCATTTGTAGTCCCTTGCCAGACATTTTGGGGCCCTTCCTTGGTCATGACTTCTGGGCCTTATGGCCAGGGAAGGAATTTTAAGTTTAGGAGTACAGTTCACAGGAGGCCCTCAGAAGAGGACTTCCAGTAGGTTGACCCTCCTGTACCCAAGGTCACCTGTGCCCTGGTGTGACTGCCTGCTCAGCAGAGTGGCTGCCAGCCAGCTCCCTGGCCTGCTGTCAGCTGTATATACTTAGACTTGGCTGATTGAAGCCACATAAAGCCTGTCTCTAGGGCTAGTGACGGAGCTGGCGCCTGCCTCCCTGCTGCCTTTGCCCTGTCAGAGCTAGGGGCTGCAGCGAGTGCTTGGCAGACTTGCCTTACTGCAGCCAACCTTGCAGGCGTCTCAGGTCTCCTTGAGCAATGGGAGGGGTTGGGATGGTGCTGGACCCAGGCTGTCACAGTGTAAGGCTGTCACAGTGTAAGGGCTGCTGCAGTGAAAGGAAAGCAGGGCTGTTCACTGGGACTCACCTTGGATTTATAGCTCTGTCCCCTACCCAGGGATGGAGGACATCCCTGGAGGGGCTGGTGAGAAGTCCCAGCAATCCTGAAAGCCTTGGTGGACAGAGTTGGAGGTTAGTGGACACATGTAGCAGGGTGGCTCAGCATGGGTATAGGGCAGCCCTGCTCACCCTCTGTAGACACTGTGGTTGGGGATTTGATTACTCTAGAGAGGGTGGCAGGCTGAATGACCCTGGGTAAACTACTGCCTGCTTGAGCCTCAGTTTCCTAATCTGCTCTGAAGTAGTGTCTATTCATTCTGGGGTGGTGGAAAGGGAAAAATAGGCAGTGAGTACAATGGCCTGGGCTATGAGTGGCAGGAGATTCTGGAGTCCAGGTGGGTCCGCAAAGGCCCTAGGGGCTGCTCTGAGGAGCAGGCTGCTCTGTTGGCCTCATGCTGAGCAGGGCTTGTCAGTGACTGGGCTCGGCACAGCTCCACCTAACAAGTGGCCTGGTCACATCTCTGCCTTGGAGAGGGTCATCAGGTTTGAGTCTGGTGACGGAGCACAGGACAGGGCCAGTACCTTCAGGGTGTAGAATTGTGAAGACTCGGGGCATGGGAGGGCCAGAGTGTAACTTGTGTTAGTTCTCCTCCATGACATTCTGTGGCCTTCTTTCTATGTTCCTTCCCTTCCTGCCATTCCCTGCTTTGCAGGTCCTTCCAGCCTCACTAGGGGTGTAGGGCAGCCTTGTTCCTACTGTGTGTCAGGAGTCCTCAGAATCCCCCTGCAGCCCCTCCCTGCTTCGCTGGAAAGGCAGGAAGTCCTTGGCACCAAGGGCTGTTAGTGCTGCCTCTTTTCTGGGGAAAGGGCAGACAGTAAGAATCTTGTTCCCTTCTGGGAAGTTCATACACTCCTTCCTTGGAGCCCAGAGTGGCAGTGTGGGGCAGTGCCATCATGTATTATCCCTGAGCATACTCTTTTTTGAAAAAAAAAAATTTTTTTTTTTTTTTGTCTTTTTGAGACAGGGTCTCCCTGTAGTCCCAGCTGACTGAACTCACTATGTAGACCAGGCTGGTCTTGAACTCACAAGGATCTACCTGCCTCTGCCTCCCAAGTGCTGGGATTAAAGGCGTGTGCCACCATGCCCAGCTTGAAAAAAATATTTTTATTTTATGTGTATGAGTGTGTTAAGTGCACCATGTCATGCCATGCCCATGGTGGCCAGAAGAGGGCGCCAGATCCCATTGAACTGTAGTTACAGATGGTTATTAGCTGCCATGTGGATGCTGGTGCTTGAACCTGGGTCCTCTGCAAGAGCAGACAGTGCTCTTAATTGCTGAGCCATCCCTCCAGCCCCCTCTAAGCACACTCTTATAAGGTGATGTTACTTTTAGGTCATGGGAAACTGATAGGCATATACTGATAGAATGCTCACAGGAGGGAAATGGGTTTTCCTGCTGCCGCTGACACTCTCTGGGTTGGACTTGGAGGGACAGAGATGCAGTAGGTCAGCTGGAAGTCAGCCAGCAGCCTCAGATTCTCTTGGTTGGTCAGTGCTTATCTCTTTCCAGACAGGCATGGGTCTTTTGGGTGCTGTCAGCCAGGGTCTCTGAGATGGGCATGCCCATTGAGGCTATGGAGGGTAAGGTTACCTGCTGCCCTGGCAGGTGAATGCATGGAGACCAGGAAAGAATGTGAAGGAACTTCACCCATTCTGGACATGACTGACTTTGAGGGCAGTGTTCATGGTGTCATGCCCATCCTATCTTCCTTGAGTTCTAAGGTAGTGGCTATTGGGTACTGCCCAGCTCTAGGGCTGTGTTATGGACTCCAGCTGCTCTGTTGAATGTGATACTGAGCTCATGCCCCAGGGTTTACTCAGTCCAGGCCCTTGAGAGCCCACTGCACAGGCCGTGCTGGCCTCACCTCAGCCTCCAGGGTAGTCCCTGAGCATCGCATACCACTGCTGTCTTGTGGATCCAAGCCCAGAACCCGCTCAGGTGACCCAAAGGGTGCTGTGCAAGCCCAGGATCCAAGGTGCAGGGGTGGAAGGAAAGTCAGTGGTGGCTCCTAGGAGCTGTCCCAGGATGGCGACACACATCAGCAGGGAGCTTTTTAAAATTTTGTTCCAAGATTTGTGGATTTGCCTATGCCCTCGTGGCTTCTAAGCAAGTTCATTAATCTGAACTGAAACTGAAATGTGACTTATATCCCTAAACTGCCTGTCACTTTTTTTCTTTCTCCAAATTCATTTGACATGAAAGTGCGAAATAAACAGAAGCTGCTGTGCTTAAGCAGATGAATTGGGAAGCTTTTCCATCCCCACTATAAATGGTCCTGTCACAGAGCTGCCGCTTGCTGGGCTGCCTTATTTTTATTTTATTTTGTGTCTGTGCAGTAAATCTTAAGTAATCTCTGTACAGTTTGACGAGGTTTAGGCCAAGATTTTGAAAGGCTCTGAAACACTTCTCCAAAGTGACGTCTCATTAAAGAGGATTCAGCCAAAGATGGGAGGCATCTCCACCGCACGGCTGGTT